CATGGCAACAGTTTTTTTAACGGTCAGAATTTGGATTTTCCCATAGAAAATGAATAGAATTTAAAAACTGCCCTAAAAACGTTAATAATTGGCCCACCCGTACCAAAATTTGGGAGAAGTAAGAAAATAAAACCCTTAATAAGATATTACAAGTCCGCCCCTTAAATTAATTTACCCCCCGCTACACTGGCCGAAAAGTATGAAATTTTAATTATTATCTGGTTCGGGGGGAGAATTTAGGGGGTTTAAAGTGATACCTCAAAAGAATCCTTAGGTCAAGCCCTATCCATTGATGTATGGCAATAAGCGTAAATCCAAAAATAATCCACCAAAAACGCACGATAATCAGGAGCTGAAGTTCACACAGCCAACTCTTTCAACCTGATCAACCTCCCAATTGATCCTATGACACAACATGAAACATAAGTTTTCCTTTTGATGGCTGATCTTGACTCTTCATTGACATTCTTTTCTGGAATGGAAAGAATTGTGCTGTAGCCATGGAAAATCTTGTGGAGTGACTCTGCACATTTTTACTTCATTGGACAGTGCTAATAACTGTTGCATTTGGAGTAATTTTTTCCAGCAAATTCCATTTCATTTACCTAAGGTTAGTCTGATAGACATAGTTACATTTATTCTTGAATCATTCTTTTTTGAAGTTAATCCCAAAGAGCATACGACATGCTCTGTGACAGCCCAGAGATACGAAGAGATGTGCCAACACTTGTCATATCCCAACATCAACAGTTACAAGGCTTTGAGTCACCACTTTCATGTAAGATGGAGTGCCTTCACATATTGGATGCTGTCCACAGCATTTCACTGATAACAGAGTAACTGTGTTTCCTACTACTTAGGGACGATCTGGAAAACAAAGTGATTGAGTTTTGGTTATGGGATATATTCCAAAACTGTATTACACTGCATGTGAGAAGTATTACAGAGAATCAGTTAAGGTCAGATGTTTAACACACTATTAGAAAAAGCTTGAGGTGATGAACAGAGATTCCCAACTTGGTTGTTTTATGTAATAAAAATATGTATTTCATGTATTAATTATATATTACACTGGACAACAATGATTTTGTTTCAGACTCAAAATTAGCATATTCTTATGTATTTTCATCTGTTGAATTCAAAAATCACTATAAAAAGGACCAATTAGTTCTTGCTTTGGAGCAGTGGTTCCCAATCAGTGGTCTGCAAGAGCTAAAATATGGTCCACGAATGATTTAAAATTTTTATTCATTTTAAATTATAGTTTCAAATGATTGATGTAATCTAAATAATACAAAATATATGAGAGAGGTTTTATAGTAAAATTTGTAAAAAAAAATGTTTCATTACAAAATAGTGTATCTTCAATTATTTCAAATTTTCGTTGGCGTTTTTCCTGTAACACTCCTCAGATCTGCATAAATATATATTCTATAATACAGTGTAGTTTTTATTATATGCTAACATGACAGCCCTCCTTGACTCAACAATTATGCTGGGCACAAGTGGAAAATATGTGGCGATCTAAAAGTCATCTAAAAGGAATGCAACTGGGGTACACTAAATACTGTTGCTTTTTATGTATGTGGGACAGTAGGGATAGGAAATTACATTACATTCAAGTGGATTGGCCTGCAAGAAATTTTGACTCTACCGAGAAAAATACCATTGCCGAGTCTCTTGGACCCAAAGATGTTCTTCTTCCACCCTTTCATATCAAGCTGGGTTTAATGAAAACTTTTGTCAAAAGGTATGAACCAGAAAGGACAGGCATTTAAGTACTTAAGAGACAAATTTCCTAGATTGAGTGATGCCAAGGTTAAGGGAGGTATTTTTGTTGGGCCACAAATTCAAAAACTTGTAAAGGAGCCCATGTTTGACAAAGTTTTGGAGGAAAAAGAAAAGGGAGCTTGGGAAGGGAGTTATTCGTGGATTCTTAGGCAACAAAAGAGACAATAACTACACTCAGTTGGTGACAATACTTCTGGAAAAATGTCATCAACTCGGATACAACATATCCCTCAAAATCCATTTTCTCCATTCCCTCCTAGTTGTGGCGCTGCCAATGATGAATATGGGGAAAGATTCCACCAGGATATTTCTATATTGGAACAAAGATATAAGGGGCATTGGAATGAAGCATTGCTTGCAGATTACTGCTGGTCTGTGTGTAGGAATACACCAGAACTCACAAGAGGCAAGCCATCACATGATTCTCTTCACATTGAACCACCTGCCAGGTATTCTATTAATTTAGAACCCTTAGAATGTTACTGTAATTTAAAAAAAATTCAAAAGTACTTTCAATGTTGTTAGCATATGTAACTAAAATGTATCATTTTCTCTTATGCTGTTAAAATCACCTATTGTATACCACAGAAACTAGAACTAATAGAAAAATTTTTTTGTCATATTCAATTTTCTCACCCCAAAATTAATAAGATTTCACTGATGAAATAAAGGAAACATTCAAGAACATTTTTTTTTTTGTTGTCCAGTGTTATTTATATTTAATACAATATTTGACTAATATAGTACAAAACAGTATGTGTGAAAACTCGTTATTTTTTTCTGTTTTGGCAGATTTCCATTTTGAACAGGTTTATCTTTAAACTACGCGATAAAAATCACTAACTCTGTGAGATATACTATAGAAGTGGATATTTTATATACTGTACATAATATTTTATTATTAGGCTTAATCCAAATTAATTCCAACTAAAGGTGGCAGTATTCAAATACAAGAATTGAGAAATAGTCAGTTGCAAAAAGTTATTATTATGCCCAAGAATTTACACTAGGTATTTGAATACTTCTTGGATATGATCCTTATGAACTCATATGACAGTGAACAAGCCAATTTGAGTACCAAGAACTAGTGTCTTGTTCTGCAGTCGGAAATTCTAAGCATATTACAGTAATACAGAGACCACGAGTTATTCTGTGATCTAGCTTTGAGGAATTTTAATATTCAAATCAACTTGTTTTTCAATACTCAGTAAATAACTACTAGTACACAGTACAAGGCTAATTAACTTCATGAATAAATGTAACTCAGTGCTAACAATGAACAAGGTATGTTCTCAATTTTGCCCCTAGTTAACAAAGACTATGTCCCCTTGTCATATGATCTTTGTCAGAAAAACAAACTGAAATCATTCTTGGAATACCATTTGTGATGGTTTGCAATGATTGTTATGTCTGGAGGTGATTTAATTTTCTTCTTTGTTGACAAATAAGTAAAGATTCAACTTAAAGGTCACATTCTTTGTTCCCAAAAACTGCATTTTTTTTTTTGCATTAAACAGTTTTCTGGCTTACATTAAACAAAAAATATCTCTTGGAATGGAGTGATTTTTAGACAGAACTTGAACTTATTTTAGACAGGTTTTACTGTATTTGGTGAGTTACAATGAAAAAGTATGTATTTCTAATATAATTTTAACAACTTTATGAGAAAAATTGCAACAGTATAATGCAGAAAAATTTTTGTAAATTAAGAAACATGCTGGCAACAAAACTGAGATTTTTGGTTTTTACTAAAGCCAGTTTTGTACAGACAATGAAATCAATATCATTGTGTTTACTTGCCATTTTTGACTGTTAATTGGCACATCAGTTTAACATTGTTTAAAATACCATACATTATCTTGACTTTAAATTTTAAAACTAGAGTACTTGGTTTCTAGTAGTCATGATGAGTCTCTCATTAAAATGGGGGATGTTCTCTGATACTACAGACATTATAACTAACATTGTCATGCTCTGCTTTTCACATGCGAGATGTGTTGCCTACATACTTGCTGATGCTATTCTCATAGCCCAAGGTAAAGGTTTTTCACAAAACCCAGGATGATGATACAGTAGAGCATCAATTATCCGACTCAATTGGGGACTGGGGTTGGTTGGATAATTGAAAAGTTGGATAACCGAAAAGTATGAAAAAATCCATTATTAGTATAGTATACTAATATACTAATCACATGGGATATAATAATATATCGCTATTAACCTACTTCACGTTGAATTTTCCTCCATGTTAAGCCTATCAAACTTTTTTAAAAATAATAATCGTAGCTATTGTATCGTTAAAAATTAGAAAATTAAGCCTCGTTTAAATACTGGCTCCCTTTCATGATCGATCCAGTGTTGCCAGCTAAAACACGTAAAAATAATATTAAAGTAGCCAAGACATAACCAAATATTGTAGCGCCACACCACTAGCGGACATTTGAATTTACCGACTAGAACACAGTCGGTTAACTGAGGTGACGGTTAATCGGGGGTCGGATAATAGATGCTCTACTGTACTATCAATGGGGTCCTTGGACTATTCAATTAATAAGTCTCCTATGTACACATATGAGAACAGAAAATGATTGTGTGATGATTTCTGCTGTATATTGTTATGGTTAAAAGCAGAATGAATAATCCAAATAATATCAATATATCATCTCATATTTTCTTTTAGGTCTTAAAGGTATTATAAGTAATTCTAGAAAAAGACAGTTTTGGCAGATTCAGCAGAAGAAGGAATTAGAAGAATTAGGAGTCAACAACATTAGCTCAAAATTTACTGAAAAAATACCATCATCAAATTCAGATAGTGAAAATGGTTAGGAAATTATATATTCTCATTTACAATGTATTATAATTTTAATAACTTTGAAAATATGATAAAAACTTTGTGTTTTTCTTTAGAAGACAATGAAAAAACAGAACAGTCAACAAAGAGAAAATTAAGAATGAAGATGTATGCTGACGAAGAAGAAGTTAAACAAAAAAAGAAGAAATATCTTGCTTTAAAAAATAATAGGTCATTTGAATTTAAAATTAATTTATAAAAATTTTATTAGTAGTATTTATTTGCCTTTTTATTTAACATCAGGAAGAGAATATCAGATAGTAAACAGAGAAAGGGATCCTTGTCTGTAGAAGAGGAACCAGAAAACAAAGACTCGGTCGATCATTCCGAAACCGATATGGTGGCTGACCGCCTCGGTCACGGCAATCTCAGTGTCTGGAACAGGCTCACCGACAAGAAAAAATCAGACTATTCAGATTATTCTCAATCTGAAGATCTCAGAAGCAAAATTAGATCAAGAATAAACAGCAAACCCGAGTGGACTCGTTCGGTAACTCCCATAATGGGAGATTTGAGAAACAAACTGGATCAAATTCGAAACAAGCGGAATGCTGACAGTCATAGGTCACCACTGCTGATACATGTCATTAACGATCAAAACGACTGAATTTAAAAGTAAATTCTAAGTTAAATTGATTATTGGCAATGAATATGTTTCCTGTATGTACAGTATTCCTATATACAAAAGAAGTGCAACATTTATTTTACCAGCAGCTCCATGTTGTTTTTATCTGTTGTAAGATATTCAAATAAAGACCCTTGACATTTTTAGATAAAAAAATATATATACATGGAATTTAATTTTAATATTACATAAATATTTTTGTTAATCCATATGAAATATGTTACATTTTTTAACTGCAAAAATGAATTAGTAAAGAAATAATATAAAATTATGCTTTAAATTAAATAATTATGTGAAAAATTCATATAATTTTTTTTAACTTACTAAATGAAATAATTTGATTTGTGGAAACGACTATAGTTTTTGTAGTTATTTATATAGTAAATTTTAACAATAAAACTTAGTCAGTCTTGCAAAACTGATTTTATCCAAAAATGTAATTTATTGTTAAAATTTTAAAACCAAGAACTTACATTATCAGTTTTATTTATATATCACACATTCATCTATTGTTATATTTACATTATTTTCATGTTTGTATAAACTTGCATAATGAAGAGAAATTTATTGGTTTTAAAAAGTTTTTCCTTTTTTAATTATTGTATCTAATTCAAACTGAAAGAATTAAATTTATAATTTAAAACTATAGAAAGTATTTTATTGAAATTTTAGATATTAATTATTGTGTGTTTTATACAATTTATATTATATATACATAATAATCTAAGAATACTAAAATACTCTTCTAAAAAAAATTAAAGTTAGTAATAATTTTTTTTGTAATGTCAAAGCATAAAAATATAATATTTATTGAAATATATTCTATGTAGTGTGTTGGTTAAATCTCTCAACTATTTTCTTAAAAAATTATTGACATTGCCGACAATGATATACTGCAATTATTTTTTAATGAATATAGCAAATACTATATTAATTAAACAAATGTTTGCATATTAAATATTCTTGTGTCTAATCATCATTGCACCTATTTTTTTTTTTACTACTACTATACCATTAATTAAAACTAATCCAAATTATTAACATATAATTAAATTATTGTAAATAATTTTGTAAATTTAATGAAAGAAAAATATTTACAAAAGAAAATATTTAATAATATTTTCAATTTTATAAAATTAAACCAGTAAAAGGAAAATTATATTCAGGAATGCTTAAGAAAATTGCAGGTTTTCATATATAAATCAAAATTGTATATGCAATATATATAAATTGCATATATACAAGTTTTTGTATTAAATTTCCTTAAAATCTTATATTAAATGCCAATTGCTATGAAATGTTAAACAATGTGGATCATTAGTTAAAACATTCTTAAAAGGTAAAAAGAACTGTATTTAACTTATCTATGTACACCATGTAACTTATTAAGTTTTAATTGAAAATATTTAAACACATTTTTAGTGTTAGTGTTTCAGTACTTATATATAGATATTTTTTCAACCTTATTAAAATCAAATAATGCACCAGGTTTAATCATGAGTTGCAAAAATGCAAATGAAAAGCAACAGAAAACTAAAAAATGACTACAATCACAATGGACCTGAAAAAAGAGATTGTTGAGAAATATGAAGGTGGCATGCATGTTCGAGATTTTAACTGTTGCATACCATATTCCGAGAATGACGATATCAACAATTGTGAAAAAAGAGACATTATTAAATCTGCTAACGTTGTGAAAGGGGTTAACAAAAAATTAGTAGAAGTATATAGGTTATCAAAACACTTACTAAAACACCTTTTCTTGCAGCCGACGCTTTATTATAACAACTTTCAAACGTTTTTGGTCTTGTTAAAAGACCTTTCTCAAGAAAATAAAATTAAATAAGTAACAAAATCGTAAATCGAACGCATAGTACGAATAACTGTTTTTTCAAATCTTTCGAACTCGCTTATAATCCGTTGTACATGATGTCAGTGTAACCGGAAATATAAAAAGATTACATAACTATCTAAATATAAATACTTAAAGATGCCATCTCCCTACATCGTTCAAAAAATATAACTTGAGATACATATTAACTACTTTCTTCAATTATTAATTTTATATTAAGCTAGAGGACCATGCTGCCGATATTNTGTTATAATAAAGCGTCGGCTGCAAGAAAAGGTGTTTTAGTAAGTGTTTTGATATTACAATATGCAGTCTAGAAAGAAGTATATAGGTTATATTAATATTTAAAATTTATCTTATTCAATGTTATAACTTAATTTGTTATGAAGTTTACATTGTTCATACTTTTAAGTAATCAAGAATATCAGTGATGATCTGGCATATGTTGGTGTGTTGATGATGAAGTTAGAATCTTAAAACATTTCCAAAAGCAGTTTCAGTTTGTTCATTTTATGCTTCATATTTCATAATTATGAATCTTCTATTTTCTCAAAAATATCATTCTAAATTTAAGAATATTCCCTGCTTATTTGGAATTAAATCAATTCATAATTTCCTTTGCATTATTAGTAAATTTTCATACTTTTGTACCTTAATTTATCTTTTGAGTATCATTTTCTAACAGTGATAACAGTGGCATTCAGTTGTTGCAAAATATACAGGGCGAGTCAAATATTGTTTAACACTGAATAAAATCAAACTGAGTTGGATAAGAAATTTTTGCCATGACAAAAACATGTTACTCTAGAGCAGATTATAAATCTGCTCTAGGGTAACATGTTTTTGATAATTAATGGTTGCCACATGGCAGATCGCCCATATTGCAATGCATCATGTGGGCAATCTGTCAAGAAGAAAGTGCTCATAGAGAATCCTCCTCCTAGGAGAATTCTCTATGAGAAAAACTGGCCTTTATTTAGTAAAGAAATCTTTGAAAACTCCACGTGGCCAGCCCATTGTGAAGTCTGAACTTATGACCAATTACCAACGTTCAGTGGTTTTTATCCTTTCGCAGTGGGGGCGGCAGGGGCAGCCCATCCCGGGCGGCACATTTTAGGGGGTGGCAAAATTTCACAATAAATAATAATAATATCTTGTAAAAATTTGAAACATCCTAATCTATACTTGCATCGCGCCTACGATAGTGCTATCATCCAGATAGTCCAGGAATCGGCTCGCCGGGTGAACTAGTAACTTTTTCATCTGAGGAGTTCCTGCGAAAACTGTTGACCTTTATTTTTTTGCTTGTATGATTCATTCACGTTCATATACACCACTAATATCCAATAGAACTATTTTAAACAGGTCGCTGCACTACCACCGAATTTTTCATTGCTTGTTCTGTGACAAAACTGAATTTTGTTCTTTTAAATTGAAATACCTAAATAAGGGAGGGCGAAATTTTCCTCTGCCCCGGGCGGCTGACACCCATGGTAAGCCACTATCCTCTTGGTCACTGGTCAGCATCTTTGTATGTATCAACCAGGTGGCATAACATGTTTTTATCATGACAAAATTTTTCCTGCTGCTTCAGAATGTTAAGCAACTTTTGACTTGACTTGTCTTGTATAAATAAGTGTGTGTGTCATAGCCATAAGCTGAGATTTGCCATTTAAAGAAGTATCTAGCCATTTCTTGAAGTACTAGCACATCTTACAATAAACATTTGTTTCAGAATCTTTCCAGTTTTTCTAATCACTTATTGAAATGCTAAGCTGCTTTTTTCAGATGCTGAAACACACTATATTTCAACATCTGTTTAATGAAACTAAGCATTTTATATGTCTAATGGCTTATTAGCACAAGGCATACATCAAAATAGCTGAATGTTTGTGCAAACATTAAGAGAGTTAAACTTTACACAGAAAATTTATTATAATTGAGTGTAAATATAACTAATGATATTTATTATTGATAGTATCAATATTATGCTTTACATAATTAAGACAACAGTTTAATTAGCTAGTTTCTGATGGACTGTATCAATTGATTTTACTATTGTATTGTAGTATTTTAATTAGTTTAATTTTGGCATTTTATTTAATTAATTTATGAGGTAATTGTATTCACAGTGCACTCTATTATTTGTAACAATTCCAGTCTGTAAATTGTGCTTGTTACAATATGTTAGATATTTATTGTGTTTAATACATATATGTCTAACCTTTAATGGGCTTTTATAGATATATCAGCCCATGTGAGCAATAAAAAGTAATGTCAGAAACAATGCAACATAATTTTATTTTCTAATGTTCTTCACTGTAAACATACTACACAGACTGTATGAGTGTTAGAAGTGTGATGACTGGATAGTTAAGGCTATTAATATGTCATATTGCTTTGGAGGATCTGGATTTGAATTCAGGCAAACAATCCCAGAAATTTTTCTTGGGTGGTAAGTCCTGGATATGTTGGGTCCTATCCTTATCAACCAGCTACCTCTTTTCTGTGGTCTGCCAATTCCACAATGGATATGAAAAAAGGCCCTCTTAGTGCCAAATAACAAATAGAAAGAACCAAAAATGAAAAAAAAAATTCCTAAAGTATGTAAAAATTGCCATTGAAGCTATATCCAGGAAACTGTCTGCTTTACAAAATACAGAAATATTTGGCAGTTTTGTTTAGTGCCATGAGCTAATAAGCCATTAAACATTACACAAAATGCTTACTTTCATTAGACAGATGCTGAAATATACACCTGATTCAGCATCTGAAGAAACTAGATTAACATTTCAAGAAGTGACAAGAAAAACTTGACAGATTCTGAAACAAATGTTTATTACAAGATGTACAGACACTTCTTGAAATGGAAAATTTCAGCTTTCAATGTGACTACAGCATAAATAAAATTTTCTTGGATAAAATTAAAATAAGAATTTCCAGTATCAATATGAAAGTCATATTCATTTTCTTACACTGCAAATAAAGATATTACAGATATTATAACAGTTCATTAGTGATATAAATAATATAATATTGCTTTCAGTATGGTATTAATATAGCAATGTAATTATTGACAGATAAAATTAGAACAATTATCTCTCTTAATAATTACAGAATTTGCATGATTAAAACAGCTTTGTTGGAAGAAATGACATTGAATAGCAATGGTATCTAATATTCATGAGACAATTTATCAAAAGTTTATTTGTTAGAAATTCATTCCTTACAGTTTAAAAAATGAATTATTTATGATTTTCTGTACTATAAACAATTATTTAATCATATTTATAAAATATAAATGTTAATAGCATATAAATTAGAAGAAAAAAACTTTAATTGGAAGTTATATAAGCTTCAGCTACAGAAAATAGATTTCTTCAGCTCTACTTCATTTATGATTTATTTAAAAAATAATAATAACTGACTAATATTTGTCTAATAGCAATGTTGGCAAACAGATAAAATATAAATTTTCTCTGTCATCATTTCAACATAAGTGCATTTAATTTATAATTTTGCTTAATTGTAAACTGGATATTTAGATTAATTAAATTAGTTCTTATATTCAATAGAGTGACATAGCTATAAATAACCTGGATAAAGTATTAACAGGTACATTCCAAGATGACAAGCAGCATGAAAAATATTAGCAAGGGCAGCAACTAAATCAATTGTTATCTTGAAATGGCAAAGATTTTTAAGATAAACTTTTATTCGGTTTACTTAAAAATTTTAAATTTTAACATTTAATAATTATTATTTTTTTAAATGTCTTAATTATTAGCAGGTTTGATAATTTTTTCTTTTTAATTTTGGATAAATGCACATCAGTGGTATTCAAACTATATTCAATGGAACTCTGCAAAGAGTCCTGCAAAACCATTTAAAAGAAATTTATATTCTCATTAAAAATACTAAAAATTAAAAATTTCTACATCATACCTATCTATCTATGCAGAATTTTATTACTTAAAAATAAAACAGAATTGAAGTCTTCATTTTATATGTATTCTTTATTTAATTAAACTTTATTGCTTAGAGTTCTGTAAAAATAATACTCTGGCACAAGGAGTTCTGCAGACATTAAAAGTTTGAAGACCACTGTAATATCAAATTGTAATTGTTATAAACAACAATTCCCATTGACATCCAACAAAAACAAGCATTCACAGATACAAACCAGCAACCTGAAAATAAGTACAGCATTGTAACACACATTGCCATATGACTGGCAATATGTAAAATATCATAAAGTATCAATTTTTATTCAGTTAAAGAAAAAGTTCAAAAAGTACATAACAGATATAGCTATGTCAGAGAATATGAATATAAGAAGAGGATGTATAAAAATAATATTGATATATAGACTAAATTAATTGAAATATTACCTAAATTATCCATGACTTTATGTCATTAAAATAAATATTTTATAAATAAATAGTTTCATTGAGTGAGACTTTTTACATTGTACACTTAAAATAATTTGTCCGTGACAAATTTCAAAATTATTATTGTACATAAAGTAAGACTTTTAACTACAATATTTAAATTCATAACGAAAAAATATTATATTACTTTTTTGACAATAGGAAGCTTTCAAAAACTGTATAACACATCAAATAAATCAGAATCATAAAAACTCCTATAGCCTTATATTAACAAGATGTATATTTACAATATAGAACAGATAAAACAGATACACAAATATGTACACTATCAAATACCAAATTCTGATATGTGTAAAGAAAACACAAGAAAAAAATAATTGCAAAACTTATGCTACAATTGAAATAATGTACAATTTTTTGCATAATTTTTTTATCAATAATTATTTTAAATCTGATAATACTATACATACTAATTCATAACAAGAATTACATAAAAGATTAAAATAAATTTATATTGGGCAAAATATTTATCATCATCATATTCAATTCACATATTTTCTTACTTGAAATTTTTTGTAATGTTTACACATTGATAACAATTTTAACTTGAGCACTTTAAAACAAGTGCAAGATAGCTTCAACATATGACACTACCATAAACAAAAACAAAAAAAGAAAAACTTTTTTTATTTTTTATGTATATGTATACATATATTGTTCAACCATAATATAAACTATTGGGCAGTGGTACTTTTTACCTTCTGTTAAGATTTTAGCACAGAATATTAATTTTCATATCATCAAATTTTTATAGCATAATATATATGGATATATCATTATTTACAGAATAAATTTTTGGAGGAGAATCATCCAAAGAGATCTTTTAAACATTGACTTTATTGATATTAACTTTTATGTATTTTTTTATATATAATTTTTAAATTGTTTTCCAGATAGTAACATTTTAAGAGATATGCACAATTCCAATATCAAAAAAGATAAATGGCCCATATTAATAATATAAAATATCTAAAAACTTAAGATATTTATCTTTTGATATTTTAAAAGTATCTAGAGGCAATTTAACATATAATTTATTATTATGTAACTATATTTATATATATATATATGTTTTGTAAAGGATAACATTATTATTTCATTGAAACTATTTTCCATTTAAATAATTCTAAATAACCTTATCTTAACTAGGAACAAAACTTCTTAATAATTTGACTGAAGCTAATTTTCATACTCGACACCACATGCTCATAAACACCCGTATTATAAAGCTTTCTGACACAATTGAGAATTACGTCATATCACAGCCTTAATAAAATACTAGACATTCACAACTTTCCTTGAAAATTTGCAATTGCACTACTTTAACTAACTGTACATCATTCACATAAAATGTTTCACAGGTATTTTTTTTTACTTTCTTTTTTTCTCAATTCTACAACGTTGTTGTAGTAAATAAAAATCATTGAAAGGATTATTAAAAATTTTATGCATACTGAAATTAACTTTAAATAAAATTACTAAAAATGAATGATAGAAATACAGTTATGCACTATTTAATGACAGACCACATACATGGCTGCAGTCTCACAAGATTATAACAAAGCTGAAAAATTTGTAGCCACTGTAACAGCACATGGCAGTGGCAGCATCATGCAATGCATTAATTCATAAATAAACCTACAGCATAGTCAGTTGTAAAAAGTACATAAGGCATGTCCAAAAAGTTTATGGAATGAAATATTTTCAGAAAATTTCTGAACAACAAATACTATTATTATTATGTCATTACAAATGCACTATGAATATAATTTTACAATAAATTAAAGTGTTTTAAAAATCAAAACATGAAATACCATGTTTAACTGTACATTTTCTATGTTTACATAAATACTTATCATTGTGTTATATATAGTCTATACAAGTAGTAGACTATAACATATAGGTTTGCTAAGTACATTGCATGGCATTCACTTAACAATGAAGTCACATAATGATATATTGCTTACAACATATCCCATCATTAAGCAGTGCATATCTGTATGTAGCATAAATATAATAATTTTCAGACAAACTGTATTAAAAATATTAAATTACTAAAATTAACTAATTATAAAAATGCTAAAAGAAATAGGAACTTATTTTTTTCAAAAATGTAGTTTTTAAAAACAAATTAGCAGACCAAGTGTGATAAAAAAAATATTGACATGTAATTTTATATTTTTACAAAACCGTGGCTACTTATACAAAAATGTCACTTTAAAATGTATTATGTTCATATATATATATATATATATATATATATCTGAATCGAGCAAATGGAGTATCTTTTAGAATCAACATCTATGCCCATTTGTATTACACATTAGTATTTTTTTCTTTTTTCTATTTAGAAATACCTATAAATAGTGGATCTTCATGCATGAAATAGTCGAGCAGTCTATCTTCGCGTCAGACAACATTAAATAGAAAGTGGGTGTATAATGAGAAAAAATGATCATGGAATGATGTGTATTTTCATCTTTCTCCAATAGTTCCTTTTACGAAACTTGGAAAAAATGGAAAATTTTCATATGAGTGCAATGACAGTCATTTCAATAGATGGTGATGCCTGCATCAAAATTATACAATTCACAAGAAAAGCCAGACACAAATTTGAAAATTAATGGAGGAATTTACATCCATTGTCTAATCTGGAGTCTGAGGAGGTTGGCTGCTAAAATAAGGAGCCGTATCACGGTCCAGTAATGTGTGACACACATTGCATACTTTGAATAGTCGATTTTGAGGTCCACTGCGAACAAGTTTAGATGTACATTCAGGACAAAAAACTTTTCCACAATGCTTACAGTGTTGCTGAAAATGTAAATTCAGTAAAAATGTAAGATATAACAATATTCTCAATAATCTAATTGATTAATTGAAGAGCCTGGGATAACATGGCAATTAAGAAAATTTTTCTGAATATATCAGTTAATAGAGATCTAAAATATTTCTTTTTATTATGATAATTTAGATTAAAACGAAATATTAAATAACAAATATGAAAGTAATTCATGATTTACAGACTTATAATGAAAAATTGCACATTTGCAATATGTTAAAGAGCATTCCAAGCTATTCAATTAGAAAATTTATTTTAGTCTTCAAAATTTCAAAAGTCAGATTCACCTATCCCTCTTTTTACAAATTTTGAAATAATGTGCTTGATAAAAGAAAAATAATCCGTTTTTTATGTGACCAATATTTTACAGGAAAAAACAGTTTATTTGAAAATTTTTTAAATTTAACTTTTTGTCAAAATTGTGTTATTGTTAAAAAATTACTTTTTTTGTTGAAATCAAGAGTTCATTTACCTTTTTTAAGCCCAACACAATACCATTCAGTGTGTGTGTGTGTGTGTGTGTATGTGTGTGTGTGTGTGTGTGTGTGTGTGTGCGCGCGATTCTAGAGAGGTAATTAAATTAATTACTTAAAACTGAAGAGAAGTGGAAAAACCCACTTCCTTTTTCTCACTCACATGCAGTATTATGATAGATAAAACTGATCAAATATCCCTCCATGCATCCAAGTCAATGATTATTGCGATGTTTGGACTTATGTTACAACCTTAGTAAAAATAGTCAATTATTAATGGTGAGAAACTGTCAAAGAAATGAAATTATAAGGTAAGGAGAGTCATAACACCAAGGTATCAACAATCTGACCAAACAGTCCGATTTGTGATGTCCTGTATCAACAGAACCCGGACCCAACTTGAATTTAGACCACATTAAATCATGATCACCTGAGACAGTTCTCATGTAGAATGTGTATAAAAAGGAGTCACACTTGATCATCAGGGTGGACATCAACAGTAAACATAAGACCTGCCATAATTGGGGCAAACATCCTAGGAGCACAGATGAAGCTCTACCAACCAGCTCCTGACAGCCTACAGCCCCCCCCCGATTCTTGGTCAGATTGCCGACCATCCTGCCAATGTTGCATAGAATCTAGGAGATATGAAGTGCCAGCACAAGGTATTAATTTTGAAATTTATGTAAACTCTCTCTCTCTGTAGAATTTAGAATTTAAGAGACTTAGTCTGCTAGTGATGTGGTGCTACAATATTTGGCTATGTCATGGCTACTTTAATATTATTTTTGTTAAATTTTTGCATGTTTTAGCTGGCAACACTGGCTCAACCATGAAAGGGAGGCCAGTATTTAAATGAGGCTTAATTTTCTAATTATGAGTGGTTGTTTGCTTTGTGAGCAATAAAATAATTTTAAATTATTTTTTAATGATACAATAGTGACGATTATTATTTTAAAAAAATTTTGTTAGGCTTAACATCAATGAAAATTCAACGCAAAGTAGATTAATAGCGATATACTAATATACTAATTATATAAGATATACTAATATACTATACTAATAATGTATTGTTTCATACTTTTCAGTTATCCGACCAACCCCAGTCTCCGAGTAGGATAATTGATGCTCTACTGTATATAAAAATCAACTGCATAAAAAGAGGGATAAGTGTGTTATTTTAAATCACTATTCTGTATTCAATAAATAACTTAATAACTGAGTATTATAAAAGAATATATAAAAATAAAACATAATATAACAAATGTTTATATTCTCTGCTTTATTGATGTAACAGTTTCCAATAAACTAATATTTAATTAGTTTATTGGAAACTGTTATTAAATAATAATATTATTTAATTAATTGTTAATATTGTAATTTAAAAAATGTTTAATCTTGGGCTGAAACAAATGATTGATTTTCTTATCAAATGTGCAAGAATTGTTTTTAATTAAGAATCTGAAATTGTGATGAGATTTTTCTCAATTCTGATTCCTGAAAAATGTCTGATTTTTCTGATTCCCTATTCTGATTAATCATCTCATCACATTTTAGATCTTAATCTACACAACCAAAAGTTGTATGGATTAAGATCTAAAATGCCAGAAGTGCCATAGTGATGAGTTTTGGTACTAATTTTTTTTCTTTTTTTACAAATATGTCTTCTGCATGTCCCAAAATCCACCATAACAAATTTCATAGCATTTAGACTGCTAAATATCTTTCTAGACAGCATTAAATAGAAATACTTTATTTATTATCACCCAATATTTTCACTTCTATCAAAAACCTTAAATTATATTCCAGTAAGGTTTAATTCAAAATAAGAAAGTTTTTTTCCAACTAAAAGAAGGTTTTCGATCTGCAATTGGAGATCTTAAAAAAAAAAACATCATTGTTCGATTTAATCATTTCATCATCAAATATACAGACCTGAAGATGATCTTCAATTGCAGATCGAAAATGCTAGTTGAAAAAAACCTTTTTTTCAAATTAAACCTTACTGGAATATAATTTAAGGCTTTTGATTGAAGTGCTTATTATATCATTCCAGTTTACTAAGTAGTGTTTTAATCCAATATTTTCTTTGTAAAATTATACAAGTAAATATTATAATGCCATCATAAAATAAATTTTTTTTGTATTAATAGTAAATTTTTAAAATAAGAAAAATGTATAAAAATTATTTGAAAGTTATTTATTTAATTTTGTTAATTTTCAAAAAATTTCCAGTACAATTTTTCTCTTTTTTTATTGGGCTGCAATTTGAAAAAATTATAGACCTACTACCTTCCACTGTCATCCATCCATCTTTCCTTAATCTCGAGAATGGTGTTAGATAAATGAAATTCAAAAGTAGATGTGGAAAGCTTAGGGATAGGAGAGCCCAATTAACTATATACAAACTTCAGATGCAAATGCAAACTGGATATGATTAAAAATTGCAGCCCAGCAACGTGACAATGTCATAATAAATAATTTCTCATTATTATTATTATTATTAATTTTCTCTAATGTTTTACATAAGTTTCAAGATTCTAGATTAAAATTCAAGCAATTAAAAGAAAACAAAATTCTCAAAATAAGAAAGAAACAAAACTTTGCTTATGTCTACTAAAAGATTAACATGCTTAATTTCTCTAAGATATAAATGAATTTTCTCTTTATAATTTATTTATGATGAAGTTGAATATTTAGAGAGAAATATTAAATTTACTAAATCAAATTTATTTTTTCCTTTAAATAAATTATAAAACTTGATTATTTATGAAATATAAAGCAAAATTTTCTTAAATTATTGATTATTTCTACCTTTTCCTTTTTTGAATGAAAAGTCTTTTTACAATTATTGCATTCAGTAACATCATCATCATGTTGCCACCTAACTTCACAATCTGACTGACGAATTTTTTCAAGCTCAACCTGGAAAATCAAAGTTATCATTTTTTTGAAATTAGTTTACTATATGAATTATGAATTTAATACTTTTACCTGTAATGATTGAGAAAGCTTCACAAAATCTTTTTGAACTGCTTCACTAACATCTAAATCATTTTGAAGACTTTGAACTTTAGCTTTTAGCTCATGAGTTTCATTTTCTAATTTTTTCTATTAGAACAAGATACAGAGGTTTTGTTTTTGATTTCAAGATTCAGTATAAATAAAGAATTTGTAAGCATAATTTTAAAACAACATACATTTATATCTGTTAATTCTGTCACTTTATTTTCAAAAATTGCTATTTGTTGCTGAATATCTTCTTTTCTTTGAGATATTTCTCCATAGGTAGATTTCAGTTTTTCTTCAGCTTCACAACGTCGTGCTTGTTCTTTTTCTAATTCAACTTTTATGCTCTCTAATATTCCTATATTTATAAAAAAGTAAATTCTTTTACATTAATCAAGAATCAAAAAACTAAAAACAAGAATTTATTAATAAATGCTATTTTGTTTTGAAAAATTTTGTAAGTTCAGATTTATAAATAATATATCTTCAAATTTATAAATATTCTTATATGAAATAAGAATATTTCATATAAGAATATTCTTATATGAAATATTCCTTGAAATATTCTTATATGAAATATTCTTATANGAACTTTAGAGATATCATTAATATAAATATAATTTATATGGACATTAAATAATAAATGTCTTTTAGTAGGTCCGTTGCTCGTTTAAACTCACTGGTTTGTACAATATCCGCTATTGGTCTAGATTAGACCAATCCTGTCGCGACACGAGTCGGCGATGATGTTTTACCAAATTATACAAGATTTTTTATCCAAATTTTCAAACCGTTTGAAATATGGATTTTCTTTCTGCATATTGATTCGATTATAGAACGATTGTAAATGTTCCAGAAAATTTATCAAATACTGTCACATACTGTCTCAATTTTTTCGTCATCATATAGGAATCCAAACTATATGAACCTGTGTTATGGGGGGGGGTCGCCTGTATATATATATACTAGCTGCAAGGACCCGCTTCGCTGGGTTTTTATTTGTTCGTACATTTGTATGTAATATAGTTTTTTTATATACATATAAAAGACTGTTTTTCTAAGTAATCTAGAATCTAGCTGCAAGGACCCGTTTCGCTGAGTTTTTAAAAAGTAACGATAGTGAAGATTAAGATAATTACATTATAGCCAATCTTACCCGTTTTCACAGAATGCAAGAATTAGGTCCCCCGTTTCCAGACTAATTACAGACCTGGTCCGAATTCTATTTCTGAACGTCTCCTGTTCACGTCAAGTCAAACGAACTATTTTCAACGTTTCTGGAACGTTTACATTCATTCTATAATCGAACCAATATTCGAATTTTATGTTCGAACAAATTTGAACAAAACATTCAAAATAGAAAGCCACTTTCAACCACTTTCAAGCCCATATCTCCCGCACCCTTATAGCTATCGAGACGCAACCACC